GTTCTATGAACGAGCGTACGTGTGAGTCATGCCCGTCCTTCGTCTTGCGGTGACTCCGGGCTCACGGCTTTCTTTTCCTTCTGCTTAGTACGACCGTTTTCTTGAGCTGCGCATCGACATCGCGTCGGCCGGCTCCATCGGCCAGCACCGGCTTCGTCGGCTCCCCTTCTCGTGCGGCGCATTCCAAGCATCGCTGCGAGATCTTGGCTCGTTTCCCTTCCATTCATGTCTTCCCTATGGCTAGGATCTCTAGATTTCTGGCTTCTCGATCGCTGAGTGCCACTGGTTATTTCCACTAAATGCCATGCCGTGTTGCCCGTCATGGTGGCGGACGGGACTTCGCGCATACGTCATTCTTGGGTTAGTCTTCGCGACCAGACGTAGGTCGTGCGCTCGTTCCCGAGATTACATCGTTGAGGCGTTCTTGTTTCGTACGCGTATGATCTACTGTGCAGGGTCTCGTTGGGCAATAGCAACTTTTCCCTTACTGTATTGCTCCATGTTGATGCACATTACGATACCACCGCCCTGCGCCGGTCGTTGCACGCCTGTCTACGCTCCTCGTCAGAGTGTTCTTCTTTAGCCGTACAAGAGCATACTTTCATCCAAATAGCCTGAATACTGTCCTCTGCCTCTACGGCTCGAAGGGGCGGACGGACCGCGGAGGAACAGCGCGCCCTGTTCGTAATCTTCGCCGGTTTAGATCCTACTGTGCGTTACTACAGTACACAAAGCAATACAGGAGCACTTTCTTCAGGATGCCTCAAGGCTTTGTGCTGTCGGCGACAACGTAGCCTTGGATTCCGTTCCTCTTGGTGCAAGCAACAGAAACGCTTCCAGTCAAAATCCCACGGCATCGTTAGACGTTATAACCCGTCGGAATGTTCATGCGCTCCCGCTTGCCAGTATTGAACCTGCTCACGATGTGTTTGGTTGCTGGACGAGTTACTCTGGGCGTCTTCCCTATTGCCAGAGCGAATACGTGTGTTGGACGTCACGGATGCGCAAAAGACATGGGAATTTACACAAACGGCGTGAGTTCGGGAGGTTCGGATGCTCCCCAGGGTCGTGACTTGACCTTGAACTGTCATCCCGAAGCACCGGCTGCCTCTCAACCGTAATGAGGCAACATACAGTCCTTCAGACAGATGTCTGTACTAGGTTCATGCTCTCTCGACCCGAAGAGCGTGGTAACCGCGCTCTGCGTGCCGTTCTTCGTGAGGTCAAGCCGTGCAGAGTCTGTGCGCAGGGTGACCAGCACCCGGAATGCTTATTTTTCAGTGAGTGCTTCGCGTGGAGGACTCATGGGTGTCGTATATTGACCTTCCGATACAGGAAGGCGAGATGATGTCGTTATTGTACAGCGCAGCTTCACCGTTGAGGCTACGAAAACGGGGTACACGGTTGCCAAAGTGAACCCTCAGGCGCACACCAAACGCGTCACGCCGGAGTTCGCTCCCGCGCCCCCGCACTTGACGTTAGAGATAATAGTACAACTCCTGGTGCGTACAGAGATGAATGCCGTAAACCAAGACTCATCCTCCTAGATTGCTATCGCTTATATTCTGATCCCGTTGCTTGAACGCCATCAGGCCTTGAGGCAACAATACACTCCGGCGGCCATCCTCGAACGAACGCCGGAGCTGGAGGGAGAAAGGCTCATCTGCGGTGCGTGTTTTGAGTACAGTCGTCATGGCTAATGCGCTAATGGCTGACGCGTGCACTGGTAGATCGCTGCCATACATCCTGTTTATGTTGTGTGATCTTCTGCAAATTGTGTGGTCTCGAAGTCTGCGACAGCTGTATTGAAGAAGGACGGGTAGATCCTCCCCGTCCCGCACCAGCTGTGCCTTTTTGACGATTTACCAGATAGACCTTCGTTGCGAGTCTCGACGGAACCCCGCAGATGGTCACGACTTTGTCCTACTCGAGTTCTTCCAGCCTCACGAGTTGGAGAATGCGTTGGAGGTATTAAGGCGGGCTCAACAAGTGTGCGTGAAGTTGTTGGTGCTGTTGCCATCACTTAGTTGCTGACCACTTCATAGTCAGGAGACCTCTTGCCCGTCTGATGCGGATGAAGTTGTTCGAGTGACCCTCAGTCACGGCGCGGGGCAGCCGTCATATGCAACTCTCTACAAAGCGCTCGCTTCGGGTGTTCCAGTTGTGGTGTCGGGAATAGACCCAGGGAACAGCAATTTGACGCCGGATTTCTTTGTGAAATGGTATGGGGATGAAGAGGTTACGGTTGTGAATACGGCAACCCGTTCTGCCAGGACTACGGTCCTGTCCGCATTTATGGAGAATTTCGATGATCCTGATGCTAGCGCGGAGCCTGAGAAGATTCAGGTGCGCTTTATTGAACCTATATATGATTCTACTAACCGCTGGCCCTAAAGGATTGGCCACCCACAGAGAACTTTGCAACCGCCTTCCCAGACATGAATGAAGTTTTCCAGGAAGTCCTGGTCGGTTGGATGCTGACATCAAAACGTGGCGCGCTGAACCTCGAGTCTAACATGCCTGTCGGCTCGTGTCCACCCGATACGGGTACGTATACTCGTGTGTCAGAGGCTCCCGCAGCTCATTCGTCTTAAGGACCCAAAGCGTACCTTGCCCGTGCTGCCACCAATGGTGCAACTACACGCCTACACACCGACATAAGTGACGCTGTGAATTTCATGTTCTCTGCTGGACGTGGCCGCGAGGGCATCGAGGCCGGAGCAGAGTGGATCATGATATGCCGCGACGACATGGATGAGGCTGCCCGGCTGCTGCGAGAATGGCAGAAGCCTTTTAATGGCCATCCCATTCACTCTGCGGACATCACTATCACACCAACCGATGTGACCCGTCTTTGTGATGCTGGAGTGAGGGTCTGGCGCCTTGTCCAGAAAGCGGGTGAAGCCGTCTTCATCCCAGCAGGTGTTGGCCACCAGGTCGGTATTTTCATTCGCTCTTGTTGAGCACAAACGACTGAAGAATGCCCAGGTCTGGAACTACACTTCGTGTATCAAAATAGCGGTAGACTTCGTTAGTCCCGCCAATATCGTTCATTCACATAATATCAGCAAAGAACTTCGCGAGCACAGACTAATGGTGAACGACCCTGATGCCGAAGATGTCTTGCAACTCCCCACCATGTGCTGGTGGACGTTCGTTCGCTCTCAAACCGAAGAGTACCTCAACGTGCGGTCTGACGTATTCTCATGTCCCTGGACGTCGCATTACTCTGCAGCCCCCCGTTACCTGCAAGTACCTGTTGGAGTTGATGCACGTCAGTACTCAACGAGATATGGCTTTCCTGTTCTAATACAACATCTAGATGAAGACGAACATGCTGATAGGGAGTTCTACCCCGAACAGTCCGCGTCTGGCTTCACAGTTGGCGGGCCTGCACCGGCTGGCGCAGCTGGTATGTCCGGTCATTTCCACTGAACCGATCGTTCATATCTTCCTAGTCCAATCATCCTCAGCGACAACGCCGATTTCAACGAGTATGGTTGGCTCACTTCGAGTAACTGCATCAAAGCGGCCCATCAACGACGCTGAGGATGAACTCTTGCCAACCGATCGCCGCCACCTCCGAGGGGCTAAACGCCGCGGACGCTTGTTGAGCTTAGCTCCGCACCGAACCTTGTCATGCCCTATCGGCACATGTATACGGGCAGATAACAAGTTTCAGCGGCAGGAGCTTTTAAATCATCTGTACGTGCCTGAAATTACATCCCTTGCATGCTTGGCACTTACGACTGGCAGGGAAACTCAACATGGCTCCTACGTCCTCTTCCGAGACGAACCGAAAGCCGCGCGATCGAGAATACGCAAAGAAATTCTCCGACCAGACGATAGTGACGACGAGTTTATCGCTCGTCTTCGGAAGGATGTTCTCCGAGTCGGATTCGATGCGTGTTTGTAGTTCGACGTTCATTGAGACTGCAAAAGACGCTCCCCGTGCCGGGTTGCATACTTACACCCCTACAACCCTGCGAGTTACAAGCAACACCCTGCACCCGCTGGAATGGCACCAGTCACGGCCTGCCACTGCGGGGAGATTGTGGATGAGGCTGTACCTCAGTGTCGTTCAGATGGCTCAAAGGCAGCTATTCGCCGCTACTTCCGTCTTTCGCTTTTGTCCCTTGTCGCTTACTACGTACGTCGCATCGATATATGCACGTCTTTCTTGTTAAACACTAGCTACATATCGTCAATGCTGTTGCAACTGGAACGATGTCGAAAATGCATTGGAATTCGTTTGATGATGACGACGACGACGACGGACAAAGGCCACCGCCAGATCCAGCCGGTCCCGCTAAGGGACAAAACGCTCAGTCATTACCACTCGCTAGCCGATCCCTCGCTGCGTGATTGACCGCCTTTCATTTGTTCCACTTGGACTTGAACGGTGTTGTAACTGTAAGTACCGCAGTATTCGTCACGCGTGAAGATTTCTCGAGCATGGAAGTAAGCCCCGTGGTAGTACGCGGGCTTTCGTGTCAGCGAGAAAGTCAAACCAAGACAGTAGAGAGCCTGTTTGACCGCCAGTGACCCGTGCGGGCCGCGGAAACCAGACGACAATGTCGAGGAACCGGGACATTTCATTGAGGCAGAGATAGTGACAAGAGTGACAGACCCTAGGTATGGATCTGATGTACAGAATCGAAGACCTCCTTCCTCCATTCCCGAGCGAACAGGTCGCCGACCAAGCAACTCTCATGAGTGCTCGCGCTTTAAAGAGCGCCAGACGTGCTCACAAAGCAAACCTCTATGACCAACGTTTTCGGAATCAAGCTTGTTACATGAGCTTCCGCGAACAGCCATGGGAAGATGTGCTTGATTGATGAATGTTGCCCCAGCGCTATCCTCCCGAAGAGGGGCGTCTCATCATCGTGTTCTTGAGGTTCGATAGCAGCCATCTGAAGTTCAAAATACGTTAGCAGCCATCAGATGCTGAGAGAAGAAGTACGTGCCGCCGGCCACACGGGAGCGGTGACGTCCGACAAGGATCCCCGTGTCCACCCCTGGACGATCGCTCACACGGCAATTCTTCCCAAGCACAAAGCCCTGCCTCCCTCCTTCCCATTGCGGGAGTACAAGCAATGCGGAAGAGAATCGAGTACGTGACGACTCGAACGCGGCGGTCTTTGGAAGCTTGACTTCCCCGGCATATGCCGACTGCATCAGAACGACATAAGGGGGTTGGAGAGACTTCGAGCGAGCACATGTGTACGCCGACATAGCCATAAACGGCGACTCGATGAGATGAGACTTTCGTGGAGTTGCCTACGAAGTCGGTTAACTACGCACAAAAAGGTGGCCCTTAATTGATGGTCTGCAGGCTGGAGCTAGAACGAAAGCGTGCTGGGTAATGGGACAATCGTATTTCCACTTGATGTTGCATCGCGAAGGAGGCCCGGGAACGAAGCCCGTGCGGTAGGAAGTGTGTTGGGTAGCGATGGTGGTTGCGGAAAAGCCCAAGTCGCTACCTGCCCGACCTTGCGCCCGAGTGGTCCGACGTCGGACATTGCCGCGGAGACTGTGTGGCGGGCGCAGAGCGTCGACTGGCTTCGACCAAAACCACCACGACGGCCGACATCGGAGGTG